ACAGGGTGTCGGGCTACGACCTAGAAGTATCATCATTGAGCTGACCGGCCCCAGGCAATTCAAAATGTTTTTTTTTTTTTTCTCTTCATCTGAAGGTATCTGGATTCGAACTTGAGTCTGTATTTCAACCATGGCTACCATGCGGACATCCGGACACGCATCCAGACGGTCTGGGGTTCGGTGTCTGGATGCCGGACCGTAGGAGGCCCGTCCGAAGGGGGCCAAAACCCCAAAAATAAAAAAAGGGGAGGCACCCTGGAAGCACCCCCCGAAAAATGTTTTGTGGATTTTTGGGGCCGGTATCCGTCGTACAAGGCGGCCGGACCAGCCCCTTTGTTACTTCTCGCTCTCACTGTGCAGAGTCATGCAAACCGTTGGTGGGTCCAAGCAAACTTCGTAATTTGCCGCCCGCCCCACCGTCTGCCTTTCCATTCGCTATCGGCCGACACACACACGCACACCCACCCACACACATACACACACACACACAGAAAGAGAGTTGTCGTGACTGTTGCCCGTGACTTGCCGCGCTTAATCAGGTGTGAGTGGCAATGTCAATGGCGCAGAGCAAGGGTGGTACTGGCGGGCATTAGCGAGCACACACACACACACACACACACACACACACACACACACACACACACACACACACACACACACAGAAAGAGAGTCGTCGTGACTTGCCGCGCTTCATCAGGTGTGAGTGGCACGCAGCAAGGGTTGTACTGGCATGCATTAGCGGGAGAGAGAGAGAGAGAGTCACCACCAGGTCATCACTGCGGGCACGTGTGCACACGCACGCGCACACGCGCGCGCAAGAGAGAGAGAGAGAGAGAGAGAGAGAGAGAGAGAGAGAGAGAGAGAGAGAGAGAGAGAGAGAGAGAGAGAAAGAGAGAGAGAGAGAGACCTCTTTATCTCTCTCATCGTTCCTCTTAACATAACGGTTCCATTTCGTCTGAAACCACGGGCGTCGAACCTTCGCACCGCTCGTGCAATGCCTCGACGCTATATTTCAATTGTCGGCACGCCGTCTGTTGCGCTAAGGCCATGCTACCGCTAGCCCTTGATGCCGCTGAGCACACCATGAGCACCGCCCATGAAGGTGAGAATTTAATCCTCTCCCGCACATACGCGTTTCGCCGCCCGCTTCATCGATCCTCTTTGGCAAGTCTCGGCACACCTTCATTTACGTGCTGCTTCTCTCCCGATGCAATCTCGCCAACTCCTCGCCAAGGCTACGCCCCGGCTACACAAAGCATCGTGAATTCCCTGTCAACTACAACTGAAACCGCACTGGGTGTGATCCCAGAAAGGTATGCCAAATACCCTTGTACGGATATTTAGCACGACAGTGCCAGCACGAGTCTTGGGTCCTGTTGGGTTCCTTGTTGAGGTTACCATTAACCTGGCAATTAAAGTCTGCCCAGTCTTGAGTCGTAAGCTGCACAACCTGGGGCCCCCAATTAGGTGTGGAGCACAAGGCGACCTTATTCCTAGTGGATTCGTTGGCCCAATCAGAGGAGGCAGCATCCTCTAGAGGGCCCTCCCTGCCCAGCCCCTCCCCGACCAGTCCCCCTTGTATGTCAGTGCTGATCTCAGACAGCGAGGAAGATTCTTTTGAGGGTCCCAAGGTCACCATCTTCTTCCTACCCTTTCTCCCGATCCTACGTCCTGGCCGCAACCTTTTCCTTCTATGGCTTCCCTATGACCGGCTGTAACACTGCACTTCCTCGACCAGTGGTTGAGCAGGAGACCTTGGTGAGGCAGGTCGGGGCTCTTCCAATGAACACTCTATCAGGCTTCACACCGTCTCCCCGGAAGGATGTTCCCGTCGGTAGGTTAGCAAGTGTGAGGTTCCTGGGGAGGTGTCAGCCGCCATGGAGATCTAGTGGCCCCCTGTCATCGAGGACGAGGCCCGTGGAGAGAGAGGCGTTGGTGAGGGACTTCCATACCCCCAGTCCTTCCGGCGGTGCTGGAGCGTTTGGCCGGCCAACGCACTTGCCTGTGTCCCCAAGCACTGTTGTGGCTGATCTGCGGCATGGTGGGAGGAGGGGCGTGAGGCGGGGTTACTCTGCTGCTGCTGCCGCCACTGCCGTTGCTCCTGAATGATGGCACCAACCATGTGGTCCACCTGGTGAGCAATAACATCCCCCAGCATCTGATCCACTTCCTCCTCACCCCGATCGCCCTCCTACCAGGCCTCCTGCTGTTGATGCGGCCGGTGGAGGTGGTTGTCCAACTGCTTGGTGTTGATACGGTGGCTGTCTGCCTGGTGAGTATCAGTGTGGCTGGCCAACGAGGCGGCTAGAGGCTGCGGTTGCTTAGGTTGTTCGACTGACATCTGTGGAGTGACCAGACCAGACGCGTCCCCAGACTCCGACATGGAAGAGGAGATAAGAAGAGGGTGTACAGGGTGCTCACTGGACGGACACGGCTGATTCCCGTCCATTTGTCCTTCCACCGCCTGGATACCGGCAGGTTGATTAGGCTGCTGACCCGGACCATCCGGTCGCCCCTCTGGTTGTCCACCCAGTGCCTCTCCATGCTGCTCACCTGGGCCATCCGGATGTCCTTCCGGCTGTCCACCCAGTCCCTCCTGATGCACTTGCTCATGCTTGCACTTGCTCATGCTTGCGTTGACCAAGCCCGAGGGGTGGCCCATGGCTGGACGACAGCCCACACCCGGTCGAATCCCCGGCCCCCGCTTCGTCCTTCCAGGGATGACCTCCTGGGCGGCCTGCCGGCACTGAGCGGTCTGAGAACATGGGGTGATGGGGGCCCTGTGGCACGACCCGGCAACATCGCAGGTAGTGTGGGCGCCGTGCCCCGCTGAGGTTCGGCCCAGTGGGCGTGGCGAGGCCCGATGTTCTCCCCCGAGCGACCGTGGTGCGGCATGTTTCACACGTCGTAGAGTAGAAGGAGGGGGAGGGATCTCCCCCTCTTCCAACGGCGATAAGGTGGTCGGGCATCCATCAGTGGAGCAAACAGCCGACGTCGATGGTTGGTCCCTCAACGGGGGGGATGGAAGTGTGATGGCGGTCTTGATCCCACCACTAAGAGGGGTCCCCTGATAAGTGATTCACTGTAGAGGAGGAGGGATGGTCAGTGGCGGGTGTAACTTCCAGTCATGAGATAGCCTCCATACAGCGCCTCGGCATGCTGAAGCGAGGAGAGACGTCATCATCCATGGCAGGGATCGTCTTGATCGTGGCCAGCACCTCTTGAAGTACGTCGTGAGGTGTCCTTGTTGATTGGCCTAAGTCATTGTCCCGACCCCCGCGACTGCTATCTCGGTGAGGCAAGTCAGGTCTCTGCAAGTGAAGGGGCTGGGGCGGGCCCCCGCCCACGATAGGTGCACTGTATCCTTCCTGATCCGGCCAAAGAGCAGACTCCTGTGAAGAGGGCCAAGAGGTAGCCGCCGGGAGATGGTGATCTTGAATTGCTGGTTGGGCATGCCCCTGCGTCCCCGGATGGTGACGGGGGGGGGGTGTCCTGCTGCCCACTGGTCCTGCTGCTGGTCAAATAGCTGATCAAGTCCCAGTACGAGCGTAGAGGAGCTACCATCCCGCTGATGAGACGATGCTGACATGTGGCCGCTATGCTGCCTAGGCCCATACATCTGGGCCCATATGGCCGACGGATATTCCATCTGTGGTGGGCCCGGCCGAGCCCCCTCCAGGATGGTCGGGTCAACCTCGTCCTCGACATCGATCCAGCGTTCTGCCTCCGCCTTAGGGTCGTAGGCCAAAGAGGGATCATTCTCCAGCACTGCCTGTTTCTGCGCCACCTCCCACCATGACTACTCCGATGTAAGGCACCTTCCAAAAGAGGCAAAACGGCCATGGCAATGGCAGTTGTCACGCCATGGCGTATCGCTTGATATGAAACGAACATCAACCTTGCCATACACGCCTGTGTCCCAATAGAGAGCATCCCCTTGCACCATCGCCATTGGGTAGCGTATATCACATTGCGTGGAAGTTCCCCCATCGGGCAGGAGCTGGGGGACGTGCTGGGTCGCCATGTCTCCGGAATTCCTGGTGCATCAACACTTCTGTCAGTATGGCCGGCTGCATGATTATCACACATGGCCTCCTTCACTTATCCAAATGCCTCCTGACATCGAGTTCTCGCGGTGGGTATCATTGCTCGAGGAGTACCACGCCCTCTTCATCTGCAAAGCAGATGGCCTCCCGTCCCCTATGCTGCAGCAGCCAGGATTTCAAGCGGGCCGATGGGGCGACGTAAGATAAAATGTTGTGTGTTTCAATCCTAATGGTTCCGTAGCCCCGATGCGGCACTTGTGCTGCCTGCAACCAAGCCATTTCCCACCGCTCAATCAACTCCCGCTTGACCAACAGCGGAGGTCAGCCGCCCTCCCCGTCAATCTGCACTCCACCGTATGCGCCCTGGCGTATTCTATTTCCAGGCGGCCATTTTCATGACTGCGTAGTTTCATGCTTTCTAAGCATGAACATAGCATCAGCGGAACCTGGGCCTCAGATCCAGTGCCAATTAGCTTGGGACTCATAGGTTCTATTGTAGGGCTCAGATAGATAGTCTTAGGGGTTGTGTAACTCATGATAAAACAAACATTTTGCACATCTGCAATACAGTTCTGAGCTTTTCAGTGACTTGTCACATATTTCAATGATATTTGAGTTATTGAACTAGTGACACCCTGCATCTGACTTCCAACTTTCCTTCTCTTTTGAAAATTTGGATCATTTCTCGATTTATGTGTGTCATCCTTGCGCAGGGGCCATGCTAATCTTCTCTGTATCGTCCCAATTTTAATGGACGTCCCAAAAGGTTGACTTCCAACTTTCCCTTTTTTCTGAATGCATGAAAACTCGCCAGTGTCTATTTTGACTCTTTCTTCGTCCTCTGCGGGCCTGTACCCCAGAAAGGCCAGAATGTTAACTGACACACCTTGTTCAAGCATTGGTGGTTTAAGACTTTAACAGTTTAACTCTGTGTTGTTGCGTTTCCTTCCACAGGACATCGGTTTTTGTTGCAGCAGCAGAACAGGGTCTTGGCCATGACCTTCCTGGGATAATAAGGCGGCCGAAAAGTACCGAGGACAGAGAACAGAACTGCGACATAGTGGTACGTGTATGCTGCTGACGTTGTTGTCTTCATTATGTTTTTGCCACTAAAATGAAGTCTATGTTCATAGAAACTGGGGACCTTTCACGAACAGCTCAATGTTTTATTCTATTTTTGGAATGTTCTTCTCACCTTGTGAACTCGATCACACTTTTGCTGCCTAAATGCAGTCTCTCCCCCTTCCCTCCCCGTGTCCCCCCCCCTTCCCTTCCCTTTTTTCCAAAGGGGGTAGCCCCTGAACTTTTGGGGTGAAGTTTGAACTCCCGATCTGTTTATCAGGAGTAACATTTGCATACAATTCTGCCACCAGGCAGGTACCAGTCTTTTCCCATTTCAACCTTATGCAAATGCTGCTTTTGTGAGATGTTGTCCAGGCAAAAGAATGCCGGCTACACAAAACAGTTGGCATCAGCCTTTCTTCCTTGCTTCTGAAGTTTGAACTCTTTCTTCCTCTCTTCATGCCAAGCGAACAGATTGCGCAGCCACTGGGCAGGTACCAGTCTTTTCCCATTTCAACCTGAGACTTGTGCTTTTTTGAAATGTTGTCCAGGCAAAATTATGCCAGCTACACGAAACAGTCAGGATCAGCCTTTCTTCCTTGCTTCTGATGTTTGAACTCTTTCTTCCTCTCTTCATGCCGAACGAACAGGTTACCCAAGTGTCATGGCATGGCTGGCAAATACAACAGCCTGACGGCTGCCTCGATTACGTAAAATCTTAGATGGATCCTGCTGCACAGACAGGTGGAAGCATTGCAGAGTGCAATCGAACGACTGCCGGACGCATGGATACCTTACAGTAGGTGTACCACATCACACTGACACGGATGTGGGGAAAACAGTCCGCAACACCGATTTGAACTGTGGTTTGCTCAGCTCCAGCGGCCTAGCTCAGCTGGTTTTGCACTCAAGTGGCATTCAGGACGTCGCGCGTTCAATCCTCCATGGCCGCCTGCAGTGTGTGTGGTGTTCATCAGCTGAGATAGTTGACTTGCCCACCGTGGTCGGCCTTGGTAGGGTCCTGGGCTCTCTTGGAGGCCTTCGCCCCTGCCATCCGTCACTGTGGGTTAGTTCCTAGGTATGGTAGATTTCGGCTGGCCCTTCCTCCAGTGCTTAGACATGGTTTCCTCTTCTTAGACATATAGGTAGGTAGTGCAGTGCGAGGTATAATTGAGAGAAGAATATAGCTTAGTTAGGGGAGGGGGGAAGGAGAAGAACTTAAAGAAGTGTGGTTTGCTCTCTGTTTTTTCAATTGGTTTTTCAATTGGTGCTTGCCCTTGTTGCTTTTGTGGTTGGCTTACGGTGACAACCAGACGATCTGAGATGATGTGACAGGTCACAAACACGTTGCCTTGTGTGCATGGATCTCTGACGATCAGTCCTTGTCATTTCTTTACAGGTAAAAGAGATGGGATCCCAGTTCCATTATGACCTGTCGCATATCAGTGCCAATCGGATCGTGCAAGGCAGTTTGGTCGACATCCGAGACCTTGTGGATATTATCATTGGCTGTTTCCCACTGTCTTCAGGTGCTGCAACCCCACATCTGCCGAGGTGGGTGACTGCAACCCGTAACTTTTGACGGCCGCTTTTCCTTAACTTGGTCTTTCTTTCTTTTCTGCTTTTTAAATTTTAACCTCATTGTACGTACTACGTACCATTTGATACCATGAGGATTCGAAGTCATGATCTGTTCATTAACAGTTACACTTGTAGTGCACTGTGCAGTGTGTACGTTCAGCCACATGGGCTTTTTTTTTTTTTTTTTAAACAGACGACTCTGATCTATTCGTGGGGAGCCGTACGTGCTGGGAATCGGGCCCAGCGTCCCATATGAAATATAGAACAAGCTTGGAACATTTGGAAAACCTTCCCCTGCCACATGGTCTTAACTTTTTTTTTTTTTTTAATTCCATGACCTGCCGATGGAAGGAGACCAGAGTGTTCTGGATCCATCCGGAACAGATTGGTGCCAGAACCAAGAGAGTCCTACTGTTTTCTACATTTTATTTTCGTTTTGTAAAATAAAAAAAAAGGATTCAGAAGTTCCAAAATGAGGACTTTGCTCAGAGTATTCGGAATCACAAAGCCTTAGCAGCATCAAAACGTTTTTTGTTTTTTTTGAAAACCAGTTCAGTGTACTAGAGGGATTGATACTAGCAGCACCCCCTAGTATGCCTACCGCTGGTTGCTCCAGTCTATTGGTGGGGAGCAACACATGCTGGAAACCATGTCCAGCATCCCATAGATCCTCAAGCAACAGTACATCAAAGAATAAATCTGAGCACTGGGGCCATTACCTGGCTTCGGCTGATTGGGACCAATAAGAATCCTGGTGCCTCTTCAGTATCTTCACCCCTCTCAGGGCGCCTGGCCGGGGCT